TTCGTAAAGTTCCTTCAACTTCCGCGATCCTGAATGCGTGCCTGAGAGTTTGGGGGCAGACCCTGCAATTGGTCTAAATTGCTCGGTAGAAGGGTTTAAATTGGCACCTGGGACAAGTTGAATTGCCGGGACAGGCCCTTGAATTGGCCTGACAGGGATATGAATTGGCCTGGCAGGGACATTCCGACAGTCAGAATTAGCCTGACAGGGATACGAATTAGCCTGGCGGGAGATTCCGACAGTCAGAATTAGGCTGACAGGGTGTCGAATTGGCCTGGCAGGGACATTCGGACAGTCAGAATTAGCGTGTTCAGGGTGTCGAATTAGGGAAGCACGGGAATTGTGCGACCGGGGCAGTCAAAAGAATTGCTCTGCCCGACAGTGTGTCCTACCCTCTATCCGGACATAACCCTGAGAAGGTGCCGTACAACAAGACCATAAGTGGGTTCAACCCTGCACAAACAAAACCCCATGCCTTGTATTCATCATCGCACAAAAAAATTTACACAAGACAGGAGGTACATATGGCAACTTTCCTGTTGCTAAACATTCTCTGTACTACTACGGAAGATTGATCCACATGTAATCTCACTGTTCACCACTTCTCCCATAACAGCATTCACCCTACTATTCACCACTTATCCTTGCCTACCATTATGAACCACTGTGCTCTTTAGATGCCTTTGTCCTCTGAAGCGATATCGACAACTTCCTCGGCAACGGACGCTCCAAGTCTTATCCCAACCTGCCAAACACCATTTCCGACCTCCAATGCCTGACACCTTGCATCGACAGGAGGTGAAACGGTTGGCAAACAAGCCGGAAAATGCAAGCACAGCGACGACAGTTTCCGCGTCCCCGCCTTGACTACAGGTAGCTGCCATGTACACCGGCACTTGCTCAACTCATAATCCATAGTTTTCTATATTTCAACGGTACGTTACGACCAGACATCTCTCTTTGCCATAATGCCTGAACATTTAGTACATTTTAACATTTTTACATAAAACCACACGCTACGCGTAAGGTCGGCTTGCCCAAAGGAGGAATTGTCCTAGTCTGTAGTGGGTGCCTTTGAGGGTGCTGCAGTCTATGTTGTGATGAGATGATAGATTGTACGAGCACAGTGCAATTATGGCTGCGTCCCCAAGCCATGGGGACCTCTGCCGTTGGGGAGAGCCCTTTGTACCGAGGCTCTCTCCCCTTGGGGAGCCTGAGAATCTCCCCAAACGATTTTCCCTGAGGGAGCATTTCGCCGTGGCTGAAGCGCCCTCACCGGACGCGCCCGACCAGTTAGGGAAGGTCCAGGAGTGACTCGCGCCGCCTAGCCCCATCGATTTCCCGCAATACCGGCGACCTTCCCGACGGCCCAGCACCATACCAGTTTGTACGGCATATACTACCCAACCGTACAGGAAAGCAATGCTTCAAACGAAATTTCCCATTGCATGAGGTATACAATTACTAAGCGAAATTGGCTTCGTTGGTTAGGTGAATACAAACAATAGCTTTGCCTCACCAACTTCACTCGATCATGAAGGTCGAGGACCCATTAAGAAGAGCATTGCCAAAGCAAACAGGAATAAAAGGCGACGGGTTACAGAAAAGCAGCTTTAAAATGCCCAGCCCCCGAGCCTTCCAACAAACGTAGCTGTCACAAGTGCCAAGGCGCAACAGGAGCCTGTGAACATTGATAACGACGCGGCCTATGAGGTCGAAGATTTTGATCTGATTCACCATGAAGACGCTGACGACGCGGAAGCATCGGAAGATGCTGACGGTTTCAGCGCAGCCGCGGAGGACCCAGAACCAGAGCTCGGACCAGAGTCCGCGTTAACACACGCTGTGCGGGAAGCGTACATGCGTGACTTTGCAGCAGCCGCGGAAAGCCGGACTTGCTTTCTGAGCAGCAGCGCTGGCATACTTCGCAGCCTGGCGGGAAGCAGACCTGAGGCGTGCCCCCGGTGCGCCGTGCGCTCCCCGGACGGGGAGCGGATCTGGACCTGCCCTGTGACCATCATCACTTGGGAGTGACCCATATGCGTACATGTCCCTGTGTGTTGGTGAACGCCATGTCGGGCGTTTCATAACATGCGTCCCACAGAGTTCAACTGCCTACCTGACGCTAAGGCTGGGTGGGACCTCCACCTCCAGCGAAACGGCCAGCATGTTCTCCGGTGGCACCAGTCGCTCTTGCAGCTGTTCGACCTTGTGTCATTCAGGAGCAGGTACCTGAGTGCGGACGCGTTCTGCTCTGCACTTCTTGACACCTGGGAGCAAAATGGCATCCATTGTCCAGTTTCCGTTTCGGCAACCACTCGAACTGTACACGGACTGCGAGGGTGTCGTGGATGACTACCCGGAGGGCACACTTAGCACCTGGCCCCGTGGAGCTCTGAATGGATGCCCTTGTTGTGGGGACACTCTCAGGTGCAGCAGTGCAGTGAGTGCCGCGGCCGCAGCCGCCCCAGCCCCTGTTACAGGTGCCGCAGCGCCAGGGGTCGTGGAAGAAGCAGCAGCAGTGGAGGGGCCGGAGCCTGGACTGGAGCGCAGAGGTGGCGGCAGGCAGCCCTGCCGCCACTGAGGGCAATCCCGTTCCCCCAGTCCCGTCAGCCGGCGCAGCAGCCCTGGGAACCATGGCAGCAGCGGTGTCCGCGTGCGCCGCAGTGCTAGGGACGGCAGTGCTCGCGTCGACTGACTGGCTGCTTCGGGACACCTGCAGCCCCGAAGCCGCAGGGCCCGGCCCCACGAGCTTGCACTCGGTACATTTCGATGCCTGCTAAGTGTTTGCAGCTTTTCCCGTGGTTGCACAAACAATTCTTACTACAAAAGACTGCTCTGTATTAGTTCGCGATTCGCAGTCAGTTAATGGAACAATGCGTTTGTACGCTACGAAAGCTACGTATGATACAACGTGAACACGGCAGTCATTGGATAACTCACCAGGTATTATCATCAATAATAGTAGCAACCCAAGAACAAGGACAGTCGCGCTCAGCGCTGCAAATGATATTGGATTCTTTCGCCGTTCTAGGTCGAGCAACCGAGTATGTTGCATCGGTTTATGCCGTTGCGTGTTTGCTGCCAGAGCTCCTTGAACTGCATATAGGCCAGTTATAGGCCAGTTGATGCAGGAGTTACGCAGTCGATTTGATGACGATTGGGAGAGTGAGCGACTAGAAATGGATCCTAGGACATTTGTTTCCGACGACAAACAACCAGGGGTGAAAATGTGCCGGTACAAGCAGTGGATGGGGTTGCCTAAGCACTGCACTGGATATATTTCGCCGAAGCAACATGTCACGCTGATGCGGTTCAGGATGTGTATGTGGCCGCTTGCAGTGAATCGTCCTCATGGCAGGGAAAGATCAGCGCGGTGGTGTCGTTGCTACCGCTCATTATTGCGCTCGCCAATGATCGGCCAAAAATTTATAATAGTAGTAGTTGCTGTTAGTTCTTTTTGAAAAGCTGTAACTCTTAGGTAAAAAATGATTCTTCCTTTATTTCTAACTCTAAAAAGGTAACCTCTTAGGTAAAAAATGATACTGCCGTACAGTCTCTATAGGGAAGAAGGCCAATGATGCCCTACAGTCTCTATAGGGAAGAAGGCCAATGATGCCGTACATTCCCTATAGGGAAGAAGGCCAATGATGCCGTACAGTCTCTATAGGGAAGAAGGCCAATGAACAAGGCCCTCAAGTCGTACGGCCAAAAGGGAAATCTATCCGTCGCTGGCTCTACCTGCCAGCAATGTTCTTAAGTATATGACAGCAAGTTTAAGCATATTGATCTTTCGCCTTGTAGCGTGCTTGATGCTGTGTGGTAAAGCACTGTGTTCCGCGTCTGCGTCCATTTTGCCTGCCAAAAGTGGTGAACCAACTTAATCAAATGCAAATTTACAATGCCATAAAAACGAAAATGTAGGTAGTGCTGTTACGCACTTTTCGGCGGCGGCAAGATTTCGCACGGCATCATCGCACGACCGATCTGCGTCGCTGTTCAGCCAGTATTTAGCCCAGTACATAAATAGCAAATACTTTGTATTACATATGACTTCTTCTTTTAACAAATTGTAAGATTAGTTTGGCTTCCTTTCCTTCGCCGTTATCGTTGTGATAGACTGATCCTTGAGTCAATACCTTCATTAAAGCCTTGGACTGCTAGTGAATATGAAGCTAGTAAATGTTGTCACTGTCGGTACAATCGCTGACGTTCAGCATTGTGGTCATGCTCGCCATGACCACGACACACTATGACGACGGGTGACTGCGTTAAGTCCGCGTTAGATCGCGTTAGTTCGCGTAACGGTGCGAATCTTAGCGTTAGGTGCGAATGAGCATGTTTTTGTAACGCAAAGAGCTAACGCACGACGGCTATGAAAATGCGGAAATCGGCCCTCCTTGCTAAAACTTTTAAATTTTATAATTTTCAGATTGTAAATGTTCATTTGGAAATAAACTTGCGTCGTTTTGGTCGACTTGAGCAATTCATGCGTGCGTATGTTGAAACGCGAAGCATACGCGCATGTGTAGCAAGGCGATACGCATGCGATTCCATATTGCGATTCGTGCGTGTGGGGAGACAATGCGTAAAGCAATACGCGTCCAATCGCACATCAAACGCATACAGTCCGCAAGGCTATTCGCATGCGAATACATGTTGCGTTTCATGTGTATGAAGGCTGATTGCGTAAAGCTTAACGCGGCCTAACACACACCAAACGCACACATGTCGCAACGCGATTCGCATGCAGACAAATGTTGCGTTTCAAGCGTATGAAGGCTCGTTGCGTCAAGTTTACTGCGGCCTAACACACCAAACACACACCAAACACACGCGATTTACTTTGATTAATCGCATGACATAACAATTCACATGCGATGTTTTATGTGTTGGTCGCATACTCAGTTCGGTAACCTTCACGCAGTCTCATGAGAGAATAACATGCTTGGCAGCACTCAGGGGGCCCTTCCGCAAACGAGATCGCATCAGGCGCAGCCTTACATCGCACAACGATTCATCATACCATCAATAGATGCCAGAAAGGTGGCGGGACATATGCCACATGCGAACGCGCACGCAATTAGACCCCCGCTGGCTGTGAGGCAGTTGCGGGGACATGCCTGGGAGGCTGAAAGGGCTTCCGGACGCATAAATCGCATCAGGCACTGTCTTACACCGTGCCAACGATGTATGACGCCATCAACTATTTGCCGAAATGTGACGGGGAAGGCTGCTGGGGAATGGAGCATCCAACATAACATTAACTAGTTGTTAGGAAGGCGGCGGGGAAAGGAGCATCCAACACGCAATTAACCCCCCGCCGTGAGATGTGTCGGTGGCTGTGAGGCAGTTGTGGGGACATGCCTGGGAGGCTGAAAGGGCATAAATCGCATCAGGAGCCATCGTACGCCGCAACAACGATGCATCATACCATCAACTAGTTGCCAGAAAGGTGGCGGGGAACGCGGCTTGATCAGTCATGCGCGCTAGGCAACCATCATGGGGAAGGGATGTAAGGGTGTCCTCCTCTCGGATGGGTCGAACTACTCCCAGTGGCTCGGCGACTTAGGCGATTTCTTTGCAACATCCAAGTTGAAGACTACATCAACACCCGTCGCCTCCGGGCCGCAACGCCCAAGACGCCCTGGAGGAGGACGCACAGGCGCTCGGCTACCTGCATCTGTCCTGTGAACTGCCCATCAAGCAGTTGCTCAGGAATTGCCAGACCATTCTCGCCGCCATGCAGCTCTTACAGCAACAATTGCGTTCTGCATCCCAGGCCCGGCTGAGCCTGTTGGAGCCGCAGAAACAGCTGAGCATGCGCGATGGGAAGACGACCACTGACTTCGTTCAGCAGGCAGAGCAGCTCCGTAGCAATATAATCGTGGCCGGCGGCCAGTGGGACGAGAGCACGATGCACCACGCCATTCTCCGTGGCCTGCCTCCGCAGTGCATCATCACCGTCGAGTTGACGATGTATCAGCCCAACTTAACGACCCCACAGCTCGTGCTCATGCTGCGTGAGAAGGAGAACAACCCTAAGACCTAAGCAAGCAAGACAAGCCTGGTGGGAGCTGTCGGCCCTGGCCGTGCTGCCAGTGGAATCGGCAGCGCCGCCGGTGCTGCAGGCGCCGTGGGGGCCGGCGACACCTGCCACTACTGCGGACAGCCTGGTCACTACGTTCGCGAGTGTCCCGTTAAGCAGGCGGACGAGTCCGTCG